CATTTCTACACATTTAGGCTGAATAATGGAAAGGCAAAATGGAATAAAGAATAATGGAAATTATTATCTGGGGCGAGGGCCTCTAATTACTTTCAGTAAACGCCTGAAGAAAAAAAGGAACGAATTTCTTAGGTTCGTGGCATGCGTACAAAATTTATTCATTTATATTTTTTTTATACGCTTGGGTTTCAATTCGGATTTTTTAAGCAGCTCAGATCGAAACCAGGCGTGCAAAGATGAAAGTCTCACCGTTCTCCTGCGATTGTGGAACTGTCTCGCTTTCTCCCTGAGTCTCTCGGTGGACCGAATCTTCATGCGACACTACGTCCTGGGCAAGCTCCACCAGGTGGGATTTCAGGTTGTCCAGTACCGTTTCCGTCAAGGAGCTCCTGGTCCTTCGAATCATGTGTCTGAGGGCCATCCTGGTGATTCTTGTGGAAGGCCGTTTGGGTTCTTTCTGATGCGGCCTGAATTCGGACTGTTGTCCTGCGGGGAGACCTTCGGATTCTGATGATCCACTGGATGACCTAAAGCATCAGTTAACTCTTCAATTGACCCTTGAATTACATCCTTGAATGATCTAACCTGACTACTTTCACTTAAGCGTACGAATTCATCTGTAGGTCCACAACCGTATTAGACAAAGTGTCAGACTCCTTTTCATGCATCTTAACCTGTCCGAATGGATTGCAAATTCCAAAAATTTGAAAGAAAAACGGCGATATTGGTTGTTTTCCATAATCTGGCGAACGATGCCCAGAATTTAAGTGCATTTTGCACGAAACGTGATTCAAGCGGTATACTCGAATGAAAACCTTTGATGGTGTCCCTCTCTCTAGGCTCGAAGCCCAGTTTCGAAATAACAGTTCGAAGTGGAGGAAGTCCAGAGACTTACAGTACAAGGCTTGGAAATACTTCGCCTCTTTCATGCACCCTGCAGAAAGTTAAGGAACTCTTGATCTCAGGTGAAAATTTCATTCAGAAATATATATATATATAAATCCACTAAAAAAAATTATATGTACATTTTCAAGGACATGAAAAGAAAGCTTTTCCATCAAAATGGTTTTCTCGCAACTGTCAGTTCTCCACCATTCTACTTAAAATAAGTCTTCATGGATAGCGTTCAGTTTAAATCAAGAGGATTTATGCTAAGCGATGAAGTGCAGGGAAACTCGAATGAATTTATAAACACGTATGAGCTTTGAATAGCGGCATTAAAAGTCTCGATTTAGGTGGAAATGGCACTGTACGAAAATGTTGGTTTTCCTTCTCACCCTTGCAAGTTCGCTTCAGAAGGAACGGCTGGATCTTGAGGGCATCTCTCGGATGGGGTGGGAGTAGCTCCTGGGGGTGACAGCTCTGGAAATGGCATTGGAATCATTTTTATTATTATTAGAGCATGGTCGAAGTTTAATGAGCTCGGGGCAGGCAATCCAAGGGCTTCAGGCAAATAAATCCATAGCATCACGGTGTCTTCCTTTCAAAAAGCGAAAGCACCTGTAGATCTTTCAGATCGTGCGCTGCTCGAATTTCACTAGAAGCCGCTTACTTCGTATGGGAAGATGCTAAGTTACTTACTCGTTAATTGCAAGACGTTGTTTTTCCTCAAGCAATAATATGAATTAACTATAATATATGAAAAATTGAACACAGCTGTGCGCCGAAAATGAAAATAAAATATATATAAATATATAAACACATATGCATGTATGAACAACAGAAATAAAACTTTACTTCCCTAAGCAAGAAATTGGAAGACACAACTGACTTCGAGCCTCCTGCAGCCTGGAGAGGATGTCCTCCCTTCCCATTTTCTTTAGAATCTTCAGAACTCTAGGATAGGTGCTTTCGGGGTTCGCCTTGAACAGGGTGAAGAAGGCATCGTCCACCTTTTCGCTGTAGGTGGCGATTTTCTTCAGCTCCATCTCTCGGGCGACCGAGATGAGGTCCTTCTCGGCCAAGGCATCGATGAACAGGTCCGTGTCGATCACGACGTTCCTGTCCTTGAAGATCGTCTTCAGACATTTTAAGGCAGCCAAGGGTTCCATCTCCGCACGCATGCATGTGCGGAATGGACTTCTCCCACAATATTGAAACGAAAGAGGCATAAGACTTTCTTTGTGTTTGGAAACAACATTTGGAGGTGCATCTGGAGCTGGGCGCTTATACGAGTGGAAAGATAAGATACCACCTCTCAGCCAGGTACACTTTCGGTTCCCATAACTTCTTCATGTATACATTTTCCCAGGTTCTTTGGTCTATCTGAAGCATCGTCGTGTCTATCTCTTTGGGTCTTCTCCGTAAACAAGATCGTCGACGTATTTTTGCAATTTCTTGAACTATTGAAGAAACCTTGTACCTCGCTAGTTGGCATTCGAAGGAAGAAAAGTATTCAAGGCCGTGATGAAACGATTCTTGCCAGATTTTTAATAAATCCATTTGCTCGACTTTCAATGGGCCAGCAAATCTCTTTTTTAAAGAGCGAAGTCAGGGAAGCATATCATATTCCTTGAGTTTTCATTTCAGTAAACAATTTTCAATTTCTTGGCAAATCATAAAATTTCAAAATTCAGAAGATCCACTGCGAGAATGCTTCCAAATGGTCCATTTTCGGGACCTATTAATGCTTCATGAGGCTAGTCCAAAAATGCATTTAGTTGGTTTTCACAAGGTTTCAAAATCCTGGAATGTGATGTGGATGTCGAAATTTTGCACCATTTGGCCAAATTTAACTTTCAATAACTTGTGTCTGATTCCAGGTGCAGACATGATTCTTCCATAAAATCATAGATCATCTACATCCAATTACCCTGGTGAACATCCGGTTACCCTGGTAGCTTGGATGTTAAGAATTTCTATGTTGACCATCTCAAGCAAGAATTAATATGAAGCGCTTAATCCGGCTTTGATCATGCTTCAGGCATGAAATTAGTCATGTTTTAACTTTTGGATTCGATGCGGCTCGGGATTCATATACGTGAAATTTTAAAATGTAATCTGATTTTAAACTAAATTACATTTTAAATAATTACATGTATGAAAATATGAAATAATTTAGCTTTAACAGTTATGCAGAGCCCAGCCGTTTTAGTTTAACCGCACCATATGAAAGGAATGTATCTTAACTAACTTTCGCATTTCAGGTGTGATTAGATATAAATAGGACGTCTAACTTGTAAGTGGTCATATAATCGGTAAATACTTTCACCATGCTGGAGGCAAGTGGATCCCGTTTACCTCAGTTAACACTCATATTCTCCGAGAGAATGCCACTATATGCCACAGAGTGCGACCAGAGGAGGGATGAAGTAATTCAATTTCTTCCCTGGGTACCCCAACGCCTAGACTGGATGGAACCCTTCTGGGAGCATCTTTGGCTGCGAAAAATCAGTTCAAGTGTCACCAATATCGTGGAGTTGAGGAGAAGTCTCCCACGGATTTTGGAGAAAATTGGACCAGACTGTGATACAAAATCGCACCGATTCGATGCAAAAGGGGTTGTCTTTATTTGTTCTTTCCATCAACGAAAACAAGAATTGTAATAACATTGTAATATCAGATTTTTCAATTATTATGGCAGGTCTCTGTACTTTCAAGCCACTATTAATCTCCAACCATATGTTCTTAAATCGAACTTGAGAGGAGCCAAGAAATGGCTGAGAAAATAATTCATGAAGATTAAAAAAGTTTCATAACCGATTTCCCCTAATTTGACACCTTCCGCATTGTAAATGCATCACCGCTAGGGTAAACAGGGGAGTAGTGGAGCACCCGATAGTAGTGGACCATTCCTAAGCTTTTATTCCTATGAGATGCAGAAAAAGCTTTGGTTGCAATCTTCCCTTATGATAGCATTAAGAAGTAATGTTCTCCTCAAGAGCTGACAGAAATCCAGCAACATCTAGGATTCTTTGCGGTTGCTAAACTATCTCAAAGTTTTTGCTTTGAAAAACTTGAGACAAAAACTTGAGAAAATTGTGAGACAATACACAAGGGAAGATTGCAACTGAAGCTTTTTCTGCATCTTATAGGAATAAAAACTTAGGAGTGGTCCACTACTAACCGGGTACTATCTTCTCCCCTGTTTACCCTATATTGTGAACATAGGGTCAAATGGAATTTGTTGCTAGAGTTGATGAAAGCAGTTACTCTTGGAAAGTTTATGTGCCAGGCCAAAAAATAATTAGGAAAGAATCAGGGGTCTGAATGGAAGCTAGGGACATGACTAGGCTATGGACGTCAGGACGGAATTTGTTTCTTCACGGTAGATTATCATTAAACGCTATCAGATAATGTGTTCTCATAACAGAAGTGTGAATGTATTTAAAATGTAGCAGATGTTTCCCAAACCCACATCAATGGGACGTCAAATTAGGAAGAAGACTTCCTCTCAAATCTTATTTTACTTTTGGAGAAGGGTTGGGTAGTGGGGAGATTGTCTGTATATCTCGAAAGTACCCCCAAAAGTATTCTTTCTTACTGTACCTTTTGGTGAGAACTATAAAAATATTTCACTCCAGTTAAAAAATCCTCAAACGTAACGGATTTCCCGAGCCCACCACCACAACAAATAGATAAATATCCTCTAACACTAGACGACGATGAAACACTGCCCAAGGTCTGGGGACATTTTGAGATCCTGGAGGGAGTTCCAGTGATGTTTACACTCCTCCCCACGTTATTGAGTTATTAGGATCGCTGGCAATCCCGATTTTCAGGCAAAACAGGCGATATCGTGCACATTTTCGAAGAATTTCATGCCATACCTTATTGCCTTTTTTATTATTTGCAATTACCCCTATTCCCTGGCCAAAGGCCTATTCGGATTCCTTTTCGCTTACCCCAGATTCAGTCCCAAAGAGAAATACCATCCCTTTTCTGGCCTGAGTTGGATCATCCATTTAAGGAAGGAGGCCATCGGCCAAGGTTTCTCTTTCATGCTAATGATGGATTTATTGCGGATACGTGATTGAGTGGGTGATGGCGTGTGCAGTCTACTAATTCAATGCATGAACGATTGAAACAGCAGCAACGAAGAGTCCAAACACAGCAAACGAAGAAGAACCAAGAAGAACAACAAAAGCAAGGAAGAAAAACATGATGCTGGAACCTGAAGCAACGTCGGAACTGGAATTCTGTCTTGAATTCTGAATATGATCAAGTATCACCTCGTGCTCTGGTATCACCTGATCAGGTATCGCCTGGTGCTCGGGTATCACCTCGTTCTCTGGTATCACCTCGTGCTCGGGTATCACCTCGTGCTCTGGTATCACCTCGTGCTCTGGTATCACCTCGTGCTCTGGTAATACCTGGTGCTCGGGTATCACCTCGTGCTCTGGTATCACTGGAGGACCTTCTGGTGTTGACAAACCATCAAAGGTGCTGAAAGACAGAGTTACAGGCTTGAAAAAGCCAAGTGAAACGAAAAAAAATTTTTTTTTGCCAAGTTATTAAAGCCTATTTAATGTGTAATGGATAGACTCGGCAGCGCACTCACCCTCCTTCAGCAGGACCAACTGGAAGAACTGGCTCTGGCAACGGGATGTCTGAGGAGTTGCAGATGGCGACATCCGGTGCTAGTGGAAAAAAAAAGAGTTAAAAATCAGGATCACGAACATGCTTCCATTTCGTAAGTGCAACATTGGGATGCAATACTTTCGTGTCATCGCGGAATAATTTTTGGATGTGGCACGGCACTAATTCCAGAGCCGTTTTCCATTCATTTTATTTTGGATCTGAATACTTATACAACCCTGGCTCCCTCTCAGTTTTAGGTGCGAACATGTGCAAGTTTCGGTCGTTGAACAGCGTGAAATTCACATTTGAATCCTCATAAAATGTTTCAATTTTTCCTACAACTACATTTGGAAGAAAGTAAGCACAATGTTTTCTTTCAGATTAGCAGAGATAACGAATTCATTCAAATTGATATTTAAAAAAAATTTTCTCTTCAAATCATCGAGAATTCCTGTAGAGGGCCGGAACCTTTTCTTTCTAGGTTCATGCTGTGTTTTAGATTCTTTTTGTACATATTATATAATATGTATTTGAATTCATATTGAAAGTAGCTTGTTTTGGCACTCGATGTGCAAAAGATGAGTATCTCACCGTTTTCCTGCCATTGTGTTTCGATTTCTCTCGGAGTCTCTTGGTGGACCGAGGCACTCTGCGACACCACGTCGTGGGCGAGAACCACCAGCTGGGACTTCAGGTTTTCCCTTACTGTTTCCGTCAAGGCGTATCTGGTCTTACGAAGGATGTTGCCGAGGTCCTTCTTGGTGAGTCTGGTCGAAAGCTGATGGGGGTCGGGAAGTCGTGCGGGCTCTGATGATCCGCTCGGTGGCCTGAAACATCAATTGACGTCCTACTAGGATTAATCGTGACTGATTATTCTCACTTAACCTAATAAGTTCTCACAAGCATATTAAGCTTAATATTCCAAACCCAAAATTTTAATTTAAAAAATCGTCATTGCCTGGTTTGCCATAATTTCGCGAAGGATGCTGAGAATTCAAGTGCAGCTTCCAAAAAGTAAAGCAGAATCCTCGAAGGGAACTCTGCTGTTGCAAAAGCTAAAAGTCCAGTTTCAATATGCCTCAAAGAATCCAAGAGGAAGAAAATCTATTTTCTGTTTTGGGTGGATATTAAATTTGAAAGCATAAACTGATGTATCCTTTTTGCTGCTGTCTGCATTAAGGGAGCACTTTATGTTTGCATTAGTAATTTCCAGGGAAACTTGGAAAGAGCTTTGCTTTCAAAATATCTAACATCGATTCTTGGCTATTTCACTCTAAGCAAGTTTTCTTGGCTTGTGTCCAGCTTAAACTGGAGCCGTGCAAGGAAGTGGAAGGAAACTGCGCAAGAGAAAATCAAATCTGAGATTCGAAGACCGGCATTCAAAGTCTTGAACCCGGAAAACGAAACCTTTTCCGCCTGGGCCTCTCACCATGGCGCGGTCGTCACAGGGGGAGCGGCTGGCAGGCTTCTCTCTGACGGGCCAGGAGTCGGTCTCGGGGTCGGCGACTCTGGAAGGGACATTCCAATCAGAAACTCCCATTCACCGATTTTCCCATTCGGTCCCAATTACACAAGGAGATATCTTTGATCTTGCGATGCACAAGTTTCACCAGAAGCTTCTTGCCTCTTAGATTTGTAATTGTATACTTGTTCGGTTATTTCCCGGCGTAAATGTAACTTTGAGAATAATAGTCAATATTTGATGCAATTGATCAAAAATGAAAGTATAAAGGACGCATTCATTTTTGACTATGCTTAAATATAAAAATTAGACATAAACTTTCATTTATATTAAACCGGCATTTTATGCGGGGAAGAAATCGATAAAGAAAACAATATTAAGCCAACAGAAAGTCTGACAATAATAATAATAAATAAGCATAAAAAATAAATATCATGCATTTCTTCACTATGCAAGTCCATGCATGAAAGAACTGACCTCCATCCTCCTGCAGCCTGGAGAGGATGTCCTCCCTTCCCATTTTCTTCAGAATCTCCAGAACTTCAGGATAGGTGCTCTCGGGGTTCGCCATGAACAGGGTGAAGAAGGCATCGTCCACCTTTTCGCTGTAGGAGGCGATCTTCTTCAGCTCCATCTCTCGGGCGACCGAGATGAGGTCCTTCCCGGCCAGGGCATCGATGAACAGGTCCGTGTCGATCACGACGTTCTTCTCCTTGAAGATCATCTTCAGACGCTTCAAGAACTCCATGGATTCCCGAGCGAGAGTCGACTCCAGCCGACATTCGACGACAGCGCGTGAATCAGAAGGAACTCGGGGCATATCCCGAGCGATACGACCGAGACGATAAGATATAATCTCTCTGACGGGCTTGATCGCGTACAGAATGGCCCGAAAAATGTTGCCACTTTGATGGCAAAATATATTAGTTATAGTTTCGAAATTCAAGTTCGAAATTGTAATGCCGTTGCATCTATTGTCATGTTCTGGTTCAAATGTACATTTATGTGTGTAACGTCATTCTTCATTTAAAACTTGGCGTTAACGTGCGGTGTGACACTCCGACTTCCTCATTCCTGCTTTGTGGCAACTTTTTTAGGACCACCCAGTACATGTTTTCCCAGTTCTTTGGTCTATCGGAGACTCCGTCATGCTTATCTCTCTGAGTCTTCAGTCTAAAAATGGCCTTTCGTATCATCCATTAACTCCGTATCATCCATTAAATTCAAGTCAGCAGGTAAAATTGAAGAACTTTTGTGCTATTTATCCAACTTTCCACCTTCTTTTTCTTTGCAAACGTCTTACAGTACTTCAGTACTGGGCAAGACTTACTAACACGGCAAGCATTGAATTTCCCATTCCCAGCGCGAAATCAATGTGAATTCCCATGGAAATTACGGAATTAATTATCGATAATTATTTCCTCAATCCCAGCGATTCGCGACGTTTTCTTTGTGAAAAAGCTGTAAATGAAAATTAAAAATAAATTTTACAAAATTATTTCAACTATTATTGCAATTTCCTTATTAGTGCTAAACTTGCACTTATCATTGAGCAAATCAATTTGCAACTTTCCTTGAAAGTCATCGTTTCAAGGCATGCCTGCAGGAATTCATTTAAAGAATTCAGTAATTTTATTTTCGGCTAACCTTTTTTGTCACGCATTTTATGAAATTTGAAACAGCAAACAAGCTGCTGTTTTTCTCAGAATTTCTCCCCATCAACGGTCAAGGCAGGCGGAGACAGTCAAAAACCGCAATTTACTATCGATTATTTTAGTCAATATGATTTTTCGTACTTCATCACGATTATTTCCTCATCTTCTTTCTGTTTACTGACTTCCTCGTTCCTGTTTCGCCATTCTTGACCAAGCGAATTCTGGGGAATTCTGGGGAATTCTGGGAATTCTCGCGTCAGAATATACGAGAATTTCATCTGTTTTCAGGCGTCTGACTCATCCCAACTTTGTACTTTTCCTTATCGGCAGGACTCGCTCGAGTGCGCCGAGCGATGTTTCCTTTCATGTTTCGATGGTGTCGCGAGCAGGAGATTGCCATGGCAACCATTTTTTTTCGCCCTTCCCTTCCTTGTAGTGAAAAAAAAAATAAAACAAGGATGACTGAAATCTCTCTTGATGGTTTATCAAGAAAGCAGAAATTCGGGCTGTCATGGAAAAACTCTAGATGCATACGTTCTACGCACAAACTCGTGTCTTTTCTAGCAGAATCACAGACTTCGGAGGGAAAGGAAGCACGAATGACATCCATGGACGCGTTCGGTCGACCGTCCAGGTCGCAGCTTGGGGCGTGGGGCGTGACGCGTGACGCGTGGACGTTACATGGGCCATATCCGCTTCATGTGTCGCTGCTCCATGAGCTCCCTGTTCTGGCGTTCCATGAGGTCCGTGCGCTGTCGCTCCAGTTGTTGCAGGTGGTGGTGGACCTCCTCCATGCGCTGCGTCTGCTCGGTGCGGAGGCGGTTCATCTGCTCCCTGCGTTGGTGCTCCATCTGGTTCATGTGCAGGCGGATGCGCTCCATGGCCTGGAGTTGCTCCAGGCGGAGTCGTTCCATGTGCTCCGTGCGCTGGCGCTCGAGCTGCTCCATGTGGAGGCGGATCTGCTCCATCTGGGTGGAGCGCTGGGTTTCCATCTGCTCCATGTGTTGGCGCTCGATCTGCTGCATGTGGAGGCGGATCTGGTCCATGCGCTCCAGGTGCTCGAGGCGGAGACGCTCCAGTTGGTCGGAGTTTCGCCGTTCGGAGGGGAATATGTTTCGGAATGAGGGATTCGGGTGTTGCAGGACGGGGGTGGTGTCGTCTCCCTCATTTTCGCGTTTCTTCACCTGGATCGCCTGTGTCTTAACTTTGTTTGCCCGCTCCAACGCGTCCGTGTCCTCCTTGCTCCGTTTGAACTCCGGATGCTCCTTCAGGAAGAGGTCGACCAGGCTCTGCATCCCGTGGTTCTTGTTCACGGAATCCACTTCCCCCTTACATTGAGGGCAGAGGCCGCTCTTCTCCATCCACTGGGAATAGCAGCCGCCGCAGAAGGAGTGCATGCAGGGCTGGACGGCGACGCACTGGTGCATCGTCTCCTTGCAGATGGGGCAGGAGAGGTTCGCCAGGAGGTCGCCGGTGAAGTTGCTCGAAGGCTCCATCGAATTCGCCTCGATCGGAATGACGGAATGACGGAATGACGTCTGGGAGGTTCTCGGTCTGAGTGCTTTTCTCGGGAATTTTGTCTGAGTGCCTCTTTTGACGCACGTGGACGCGTGGAGATAAGGCGAAATGCGTAATTCGTCGCTCGGACACCTGCAGGCAAAGAGAATGCACGTGACTACATTACATCTAACTCTGTTGGATTAGATGAAATTCCAGAAACGATTTTCGACCAGGAACGCTTTTCCTCCTATTCGAAAGCGGCACGAAAGTTTACTTTCTTTCGAGATTTCTCTTTACACATTTGGGAAAGGTCATAACTTTTTCTCGCCTCTCCGTTCGACCATCCGACTGCAAGATTCCCTTTTCTCAAATAGAGTTTGATGGCTGATAGGGGTGGATTTGGAACCAGGTGAATGTCCCACCCGGTGGATGTTCCACCCGGTGGATGTTCCACCCGGTGGATGTTCCACCCGGTGGATGTTCCACCCGGTGGATGTTCCACCCGGCAGGTGGACGTTTCGTAAATATGCCGGAAATTCCACAGGAAATGGTTCTTCCTGTACTTTTTCCCTCATTTGGCTTCCAGGAAAATCTGAGTTTCTTATCATCTCTGGTGGTGATCATCGTCATCAGAAGTGATAAACTTCAAAAAAGATTGTCGGTAAAGAAAAACACCCCCAGACTGTATGCATTGTCGTCAGCTTGTTAAGCAAACACAAAAGCGAAGATTGCGACGATAGAACTGAAGCTGCGCCTGTGAAGTGTCGGTCCCCCATCGATCAAAAAAAAGTCGTCGACTCGTAGACGAGACCAAAGATATGAGAGAACAAGGAAAGACAAGGAAAAAATACAAGGATCCGTTAAAAAAAATTGTAATCTACTGGTCAGGACATCCATCCATTCCACTCCAAGGTGACATGGTCCCATTTAACATTGTTTCCTGTGAGTCCATGCACCTGCTTCAGCGGGTGCAGAGTCGTTGCGCAGTCCTTTGGAAAGGAATTTAACTCACCTGTCACCCAGGATTGCGTCCCGTTCGAAGAATTCGCTTCTCTTCGACGTGGAATAGAGCCGGGGGAAGAAGAGGAAACAGTCACGGGGTGCGAAGTCCAGTTAATAACTGAATGACATAATGGTCATAATGGGTCATAACTGAAATGACATAATGGCAGAAAGTCGGATAAGACGGTGACGGATGCAAGAACGAATTCTCATGCGGGATTTTTTCGGCAACCTCATTTTTTTTGGCAAATGTTTTGGAGCGCCGCTCGATCGCTGATTGGCACTCCGTCATTGTTTCCATTGGACCCACAAGGGCACAATGTTAAATGGGACCATGTCATCTTGGAGTGGAATGGAAGTGGAATGGATGGGCGTCCTGACCATAAACTAAATCTACGAATGATTTTTATCGGTTAAGAAACATTCCCACACTGGGCAATCGCATTCAGTTCCCCGTCAAAACTGAGAGAAGAAACTCCACAGGGAATAGAAGGAAACTCACCTCGGCGTTGAGAGGTGCTTAGAGGGCCCTTGGAGGAGCTTGGAGGGCGCTTGGAGCCGGACACGTTCTTTCCTGCTTGGCGTGTGGAGGAGAGTGCATGCCCTCCAAGTGATTCAGCTGGGATTCTTCAGTTATCAGTCGTTGCTCTGCTATCTGTTCCTCCCTGATTCGCGGAATGGCGACATCTGTCGGCCGGAGGTGGAACGAGAAAGGGAGGCTCTCGCCTCCTGTGGATTCCTGTGTGCTATAGCTGAGAATTACGGGTGGCTACTTAATCGTTGATAATCGTTACTGCCTCGGGCTGATTGCCGACATGAGCAGAATGCCGACATGAGTTCTTTTTTTCTTGGATGGTCATGTCAAAAAAAAAAAAACTGGTCGCACTGGTGGCGACGTAACCAGCTCTAAACAATTGGCCATGCCGTTTTCGATTCGTATGAGAGTATTCACTGCAAAAATCTTTTCAAGGTCCCTCGGTCGATTCGTTTGCAGGGGCAGAGGCCACCGGCGAAAATGCTGAAGTGTCGGCTGAGAATTATTGTTTTCTTTCGACAGTGGCACATCGGCGAAAATTTTTGCGACATTGGAGGCCGCACGTCTCTCGAAGTTTTAGGGTCAATTTAAGCAAATATTTCAGCAAAAATTTCGGAATGAAGTAATTAATCCCCTGACGATGCGTTTCAGGTTCGAGATGGAACGATCGCCTGCAATGGAAAATAAATAGGCGGAACTCTCGCCTGTCCGTCATTCCTTATCCGAGATAGATGTAAATAATTATGCATGCAAATATTTCGCATGATGGTGCGATGATTAAAAAAACATATATTCAGGAATTCTCCCCTAAAGTTATCGTGGAGTTGCTCTCAGGGGATTGCAATGGCACATTCGTTTGGCTTAATGGTGAAGAAAACGGGAAGATGACACAAATATGTTTGATGAACGGTGACGACGCCTCACGTCGCTGCAGGGTTCGCCGGCGCCTCACGTCGCTGCAGGGTTAGCCGGCGCGAGCGGACGCCCGACGCGTGATCGCTCTGTCTGCTCCCTGCGGAGTCGCTCGACCAGCTCCACGCTCTGGCGTTGGAGGTGCTGCATGTAGAGGCGGAGGTGCTCCATCTGGTGGGTGCGTTGGCGCTCGAGCTGATCCAGGCGCTGGCGCTC